GTTTGGTAATGCATTTATATGTGAACAGCTTTCTTTAACAATTGAAAATTTATAACAATGATCAACCGATAAACATCACATGATCCATGATGAAGATAATTCAAGTAACTTCTCTCCAAAACTGCAAACTTTACTAGATTCAAAACACCATTAAGTGTCAAACTATGATAAGAAATACGAATTTTGTAATAATTTACATATAAATATATGTATTGTTACGAGTTTTGCATTTATATCGTTATTTTAATAGAATTATAATTAAAATTATTGTATTTCCCCGTGCAACGCAGCCAGAGACTAATTTTAAGAGAAAGCTATGCCGGAAAAGTAACAGTATAGGGGCACGTGCATTTAATATTGAGTAAATTAATATCTCGGTAATTCGTATTGAAACCGAATAAATACAACTGACCACTATGTTAGCTGTAACCGAAATTCCATCGTTGAATTATGTCATCCACAAAGCACAATTTTGATTGATTATTGCTTTCTGATGATAGTTTCATTCTTTTAGAAATGTGGTTTTGGCAACAGTTTTGTTTTTCATTCATTATTGCTTTCGATACTGGTCTGCTAAATGTTTTCTCTTGAAAATATGAGATTCATTGCTTATTTCATTGTAATTTTTTATAATATGTTTTAATTATATATAATTTTAATTACATAAAAAGTTTTGCATGATTCGTTTTAGGAAACAAAGTTCTTAACTTCCTTTATAAATACCAATTGAATTCTTAAGATTTTGCAACGGGAAGTTAGTTAATTTATTTATTAGAATAATTAATATTTGTGTTTAGGGATATTGCTTATTTCACTATTTTTTATATATAATACATTTTTAATAATTTTTGGTTGTTGTTTGTTTTGTTTCGATCAATTTGTTCTGCAGAGTAAAATTCTGTGCAGTGTTTGAAGTTAATGTTTGGTATTCCCTTTAGGCATTTTTATGATACATTTAAAAGCCAGACGAAGGCTGTACGCGTAGTGGCTAGTTTTAAATAAATGGCAGTCTAAAAATTTAAGACTTCAGACAGAAAATAAATATAAATTTAAAGTTCTTTTTCCTTTGCGACATTTATTATTATTGTTTATATACGTTTTGCTAAATATTTAGCTGAGTAAAGTTTAAAATTTATTTAAAATATTTCATTTTGATTAAAACAATCTAGATCGCCAGGTTGCTTTCAAATCGTGCATTGGAGAGAGTGCATTGCAGTCATTTATCATTTGTTACTGCAGTCAAGATTGAATACATAACTATGTCAGAAAAATAAAAATTGATATATGATTTATAATTTTGTAAAACGAAGTGTTTAAGACGTTACAAAAAACCAAAGATTTATTATCCACTGAGTTACAAATAAAAATATTATCGATTCATAAAAGTATTCTTTAAAATTCATTGAATGATTTTTAAAGATAATATAGTTGTTCCGAAACACAAAACTGAAGTTTTAGAATAGAAAACCAAAATAAAACAAAGAAAGAAATAATAAATTTTAAAATTATGAACACAAAATAGCTTCATTTTATCTATTACCCATTAAAATTTAAAAACACACAAAACAGTGCGTTGCCTATTGTTCCCTAATGTGGTCTTTAATTACGAAGATGGGGTGAGCTGGGTTCCATGCGACAATTTAATGGGCATGATCCTCATTTTTAATGAGCGTTCGAAAACTGAATTTGCTCTTTCTATTTAAGAAGTCTCGATTCGCGCAGCTAATTAAAAATTCTACCGCTGTTAAAAACCTGAAAAATGTTTTTTAAAAAAATACAAGATTTATTCATGTGATCTACTTTATGAATCTCTTATTTCGAGCCTTTCGATGCAGTTTTGTAATAATTAGTTCTTTATTACCGCTCCATTTAATTAGGTGGTCTTATTTTCTAAAAGCAAAATAAATTGGGTACTCGTTTTGAGTTGAAAAGTGTGCAGAAAGAAAATGCAACATATTTTGTTGCTTCGAAAAGTAATTTATTTTGCAGTTTGCATCATTTATGTATAAATATAAAAGATAAAGTTTAGAACGCAATAGAATATTTGGACACATATTCTTTCATACAATAACAATGGGGTGTTGATCCGCTAGGAGGCACCTCCATTGCAGTAACTGGTGTTGGTTGTGTTTCATTAGGTTTTGCTTAAACTGTTGAACTATAAACACATTTATTATAATACACCTGCGAGAAGCTGTATTAGATATATAACAGCAACAATTGGCATTTAATATTGAATGCATAGAAGCAACAATTTAGGAGGTAAGTTATTCTTCCAATAATGGGAGGACCTTGCTATCATCTAGACGAGAGTTTCAGAGCGTTCTTAGAACTCCAATTATCCGAATCAGTGGGGAACGGACCTCATTCGGATAATTGGATTTTTTCGAAGAAAGGGTCTACGTACACTTTAATTAATTACTGTATATATTGTACGTTGAAAATGGGAGAAAGAACTATTTTTAAAGAATAACAGGTTTTAATTAATTAAAGTAGAAAGGCGACACTTTTACGTACATGTTATACAGTGTACTGTACAGTATTACAAATGCTGAAAGTCATTCCTTGCTGAACATCTCGGTCAAAGTAAGCTGTTTGTCTTTATCTGTTTTCGAGCAGCCAAATCGCGCATCCGATTGACAAAGAGAAGTTACATGTGGTCACACTTGGGTTGACGCTCCGTCTACTTCAACGCAGTTTCAAGGCCCGGCAAGCGCTTCACTAGTTGATGGTCCAGTGTCTGATTCAGCTTCGACATTAAGGCCATCTTCTTCGACACTTTCAATAGGTTCATCATCATTTGGAATTTGAAACCCAGGGTCTGACGAATCCCACATCATCCATTTTGCTGCATTCTCAGCACTAACTTCTAGATATTCAGGAAGTTTCATACGAATGTTTCTTAGTTCCTCAAGTGGCACGTCTTTCTCAACCTCTCTTGTCTCTTCGCTTTCTTTTCCATGAGTGTTTTTTCCCTTTTTCTCCTTTTCCTTCTCTTCTTCAATTGATTCTGAAAAATTCTGAAAGCAATTCGGATAATCAGCAATTCGGATAGTCGGAGTTCGGATAACTGGAGTTGTACTGTACTTGTTTTTGCCTGGAACAGCTTGCAGACTGATTTGACAGTCACACCCTTTTAACTTTAGGTTGCATTTTACGCCCTCTGATTATTCTTTATTGTTGAAGACGATAACAGAGAAGCTACAGGATCACTGGACAATCGACATTCTGAATTCGATAGTCCTTGATGACAGACACAGTGCGCAGCGCTAAAATCCCCAGATACTTTCCGTGAATTTATGGCCCTTGCAATGCCAAGTGGCGGCGTTACTGAAGAAGTTATTGCTCCAGCAACGTCAAAGCATGTCGTCTCACATCTCATCACACCTCTAAGACTGCAACTTGTGACGAGACTTTATACATGAATCTTAGTGTGGTACGCTGAGAATACAACTGCACATAAATGAAGTATTTACTACAGTAACTCCAATTATCCGAACTCAGACTACTCGAATTGCTTTCAGAATTCAAGAAAACAATGAAGAGGGAAACGTAGTGTTGAACAAGCAACGATTCCATACATTAAAAGGAGCAAACCTACACTTTTAAACTTCGTTTCACTGTTTGAAAACGAAGACGGAAGTTCTTCAAGAAAATCAATGAAGGCAGCAACAAACAAAAATTGGGAAGATGTCGTTTTCAAGTGGTTTTTGCAGCAGCTTTCTATGGGAAACCCAATCTCGGGTCCGATACTTTGCGAACATTTTTGTGGTCCTAACTCAGAAGCTTGGTTGTTCATCCTTTACAACAAGTAACGGCTGGCTAAGAAATTTTAACTGCAGGCACCGTGTCCGTCAAACAGCTTACGTTGACCGAGATGTTCAGTAAGCAATGACCTTCAGCACTTGTACGTACTGTACAGTACGCTATACGCATGTAAGTAAAAATGCTACCTTTTCATTTTAATTAATTAAAACCGCTTTTTCTTTAAAAATAGTTTTTTCTCCCATTTTTAACAAACAGTACATACAGTAATTAATTAAAGTGTACCATTTCTTCGGGAAAAAATCCTATTATCCGAATTTTTGATTAACCGAATGGGGTCTGGTCCCAATTGATTCGGATAACTGGAGTTCTACTGTACCTGTAAAATACCACAGGCGACAAGAAGAAGCAATTAATAGTCACGCATGAAACAGATATCTCTAATTTAAGAACACAAACTACTGTCCTAAATGAATACAATTAGAAGGAGCTTTCACAAATTAAAAGTTATGACTTTGCAGAAATTAATATTACTTCTTATAGTGCTCCAATCGTTTGGTTTAGTTTACTTTAGTTGGTTCTGGCAAAGCACTCAAGTGCTACCTGAGCCAGCTTCCCTTAGAATGTCCTCCACGAAGGGATACTTCCTCTCATGCAAATAGCCTTCGAGTGCTTTTCCATAATCAAGTAAACCAAACCGAACAAATCACTATCTTAGAACAGCATGATTTTTCTAATTAAGAACGTTTTGAATAGTTTCCTGAAAATTATCATTAGAGTTTAAATATTCAACGTTTTCATCAATTGATGGGAAGGATAGGCATTCGTCTACAGAACAGGAAATAATATGTACGTATTAAAAAGCAAATATTTTAAAGTTCGGAACAAATGCAGCTGGTCGGATGCTAGAAAAAGAACTTGCTTTACATTCTAAAATTTACTACTCATATGCAAATAAGCTACCAAAAAACACACACATTTCTTTTGGAAGAATGGAACACATAATGTTAAATGACATCTAAAAATTTTTTTATAAATTTGCAAACAAAACTCTGAGACCTAAAGGAAAACGATTTCTTTCCTAACTGTTGGATGTTTCCATTTCAGTCATTTGTACCTCTCAGAAAACTGTGACTGTCATTAAGGACATCAAATTACGGACACCGGATATTAATTTGCTGCTTTGGGTTAATGAGGCTAATCGAGGAAACAATGTGGGCAGTGGCTTAACTTACTTGATGAAGTACGTCTTTCCGTCTCTGTCAAAAGCAGCTTCCCAGCCATACGGCAACCCCAAACCTCCAGAATCCCAGGATTCCACGGGAGGCAGCCATGACGATGTCTTTGTTTCATGGCTGAAAATAAAAACAACAAACATTAGATCTACGGAAGAAAATAAACGACGAAAAAACTCTTATACGATATTTCATTGTTAAAGCGGTCGTTACATATACTTTTGGCGATATTTCTAGTTTGCACGTTACAGACTGAGTGACCATGTATGCTAATTTTGGCGATTAAGCGCTTTGGCACTTTTAATGAGGAAATACATTATACTTATTGCATTAAATGATACGTAGTATACCTTGCCCACAAAAAAAAAAAAAAAAAAAATGCAACAGTTCTATATCTCCCGTTCTAGCGGGCCGATTCACGATATTTAAATTGTGTTTTTCGTTTGAAAAGTGTGACTTAGGATATATATGAGATTTATATATAGCTCTGTTCTAGCATAGGTATAACATAGGTATTCAAAATCAAAAATTTTCTGAAATTAAATATCGATTATTTTTCCATATTTCGATTCTAGGACGGAATTTATGTCAAAGTGCCAAATTTTGTAAAAATTGCAAATTTCAATTATTTTTAAAAATTAGCTTTCAAAATGTTAGCTTCTCAATATTAATTGATTTCGTATATATTTACTAATAACTTGATCTTTTATTAAATTTACTTGAATTTTTCTTTCACAGTGCGAAATTTAGGTTCAATCCAAATGAAATTCGCAACTATTCCCTGATTTGTTTTCTAAATTTATATGTTTTAGTAATTTTTATCAATTATTCGAAAACATTTATGAATTATAAACCTATAAAATTTACACCATTACCGCCTTAGATGTATTTCTACGCATATCTGCAAAACATTAAGAGTTTTTTATTCAAAATTTCGCGATATATATGTGACTTGTTACAAACGATAATAACGCCAAATGTGAGTTTTAAGCACTATGTTAAATTAGCCCTAAAAATTTTAGCTCTTCAATGTTAATTTAATATGTTATATAGTATTTATTAATTTCGCTTTTTTTATTAAACTTACTTAATTCGTTCGTTCAAAATTCGAAATTTAGGTTCAGTGCAAATATAATTCGTAGCTATTTTTTATTTATTTTTAAAGTTTATGTTTTTAGTATTATTTATAAATTTTCCGGAAAAAATTTAAATTATAACCTATAACATTTTTGCGGTCATCTTAAAGTAGATGGATTCCTTGGCATACCTGCAAAAAATGAGTTCATCCTGCCAAATTTCTCAAGATATATGTGAATTTATATATTAGCGGTTTTTGAAATTTGGCATATTTGTTATAAGCGAAAATAAAGCAAATCTGGTTTATGCGCTTTGTTAAAATTATTTGAAAGAATGATCGATTCAGCTTTTTTTTTCCGCTCGTGCTCAACGAAAGGGAAAGGAAACCAGGTTACCATAAATTCAGAATTTCGCCAAGTGAATTATTCTCGGCGCAAAATGAAAAAAAGGGCGCAAAGATAAATTTTTAAATTTCTCGGTAAACGTCTCACTACATTTTACAAAACATAATATTTAGCCATTACCTGAGTTGTACAATTGAAATATGGAAAACAATCGGTATATCATTTTAGAAAAAGCCCGATTTTGTGTTAAAATACCTATGCTAGAACAATGGTATATGTAAATCTCATAAATATATCAGGACATAAAACACCCAAATTAAATTTCGTCAATCGGTCCAGCAGAATAGGAAGATAGTGTTCTGCACATCATAAATAAAGCTTTATTAAACTGATAAATAAATTCCCTTGCTATTAAAAATAAATAATGCTAAACCATATATATATAGTAATCAATAATATCATTTAAACATCTTACCATAAAAAACTCAACCTATTGGAAGAGTATAAAAATATTTTGCAGTTGGTACTCGCCATAACAGAACACGCACAGAAATGAATTCTTGAATCACAGAAAAATTCTGAAATTCTATTTTCGTCATCAAAAATTCTTGTAGATTCAGTTTACTAAATATTCTATTCATAAGCGTAGCTTTTTACTTCCCGATCCAAAGCGTTGTCCCAAGCGCCGAATTGGGCATAGACGACTGATCACAGAATTGAGGACGATGTCAACATAGTTTATGGATTAGCCAAATGGAAATGAATTTAATTGAAGAAACTCGAAGAAAGCAAAACGTGTATTTGATGCCAATCATGCGTATTAAACGAGGAAATCTTCAAAAAAAATTATGTTATCGTAAAACAGGGAATTTTGTCACAGCGATAAAACTAATACAGTCAATGACTAATGTAACTTACACCTGCCACAACACGAGTTGTTACATGATTTCTTTGTTAGTCAATCAACCTTAATTTTTACTTTTAAGATAAATATTACAAACACTAACTAAATGTCTTTTTTGTAAATACTCATTACAGTAAAATTAATAAAAAAATAAAAAAAGTCTGAAAGGATTCAGATTGTAACGATCGCCCAAAAGGATTTGTTAAAGTTTTTTTAAGCACTCGCCGAGCTTTATTATCAAGCATCGTTTCCTTCGCACCCACGCATTATAAAATTCAACAGAAAAATTATGCAGTGTTAATGTTGACATACAATTTTTTTTAAAGTTTTTCTCAGTTCACCATAACGATGTTCAGTTTCCTTAGTAACTTTCTTAGGCCTGTAAAATTATTTATTATTCTTTATGCAATTATTCTATTTATTATTAGTTTGAAGGGGCTTTATCCTTGAGGGACTCTTGTTTTCGTTTTGCGATTTTGCGTCGAGTCACTCTGAATGTCCGTTTCACTTTTCAAACTGCTGTTACTAAATATTATCGCCCTGTATTATATTTGAAGAAATTAAATAATAAAAAAATCTGCATTAAATGTATGTATGTTTCTCGCATTGTGATAAAACAACGGGACCTAGAACCATCCAATTCGAATGACGTAATCCTACTGCAAATATGGGCATCTGGAAGCCCAAATTTGAAATTTGGAATTTGGTTTATAATCGATTTCAGATTTTATAAAACTTTAACAAATTTTTGATTAACAAACTCCAGTATTTCGAAGCGAGCAATGGCTACGTTGTTTAGAAAAGAAACAATTTTATCCCCAGCGCGTGAGACTGTATCCGAAATTCTAACGATATCCTCAATTTAAAATTACTTTGCCATATTGCTGTTGAAGCGAATTTTATGGCTTAAATGCGAAAATATTTAATAAATAAAGGTAACACATAAAATAGTTAAAAAACGCCCCTTTGGGCGTAATTTAAAATCTGAAACCTTTCAGATTTATTTTTCAATTTTGTTCTTTCTTTTTTTTAATTTATGCTATTATTCTTTCTATTTATTAGTCTCTATGCAATTATTCTCCTCAATTATTCTTTCTTAGGCTTGCAAAACCTTTTAGCCGAAAGGGTCAATTTGCCTAGAGAGTCTATTAATTTCATTTTGGCATTTGCGTCGTCCACTATAAAACGGGGTTTCAATTTCCAAATTGTTACCACAAAGCATTAGAGCCCTGCATTACATTTAAAGAAATTAAAGAATGAAGAATCTACATGAACGTATGTATGTTTGTCGGACTGCGAAAATACAATGTTATCTAGAGATATTCAATTTTGAATAACGTAGCCCTCAACTCGAGTATGAGAATCTGAAAGTCTAAATTTGGAATACTGAATTTGTTTTATTACGTGTTTCATACTTTGTAAAACTTTAACGAATTTTTTATTAACAAACTCAACGATTTCAAAGCGAGCAATGGCAACACTCTATCCTCAATAATATGCAAATGATTTGAAATAAAAAGAAAAAAAAAGGAGACATTACTAAAAAAGTAATTTAAACAATTACAAGGCGGTAATCATAAAAAGCGGCGAACATAGGTCCTTTTTCTTCAGGAGCAGAGACACTGGAAATTTACATTTTACAGCGACCAATTTGAGAGTTAATGGAGTTTCACCCGAAACCTAAAACCAAAATAGAGCTGCTTTATTTCCTAATTTTAAATTTTATATTCACGTGTCTCTCTTTTATTTAATTACTAATTTTTTAATAGTCGCACTAAGAAAAATTTATGTTTTCTTTTTGGATAGGGCCTGATTAATACGCACAGTGTTTCTCTTACATTTGATTAACTTGTTTTCAATAATCGCACCAAAAACAAATACATGCTTCCTTTTTAGATAGGGGTCGGTTAGTACGCAGCGTGTTTCTCTTCCATTTGATTACTAGTTTTTTCAATAGTCTCACTAAAAAAAAAAAAAAATACGTTTTCTTTTTGGACAAGGCCCGATTAGTACGCCCATTGTTTCTCTTTCATTTGATTACTAATTTTTTTAATAATCCCACCAAAAACAAATTTATGTTTCCTTTTTAGATAGGGCCTGGTTAGTACGCAACGTGTCTCTCTTTCATTTGATTACTATTTTTTTTTTCAATAGTCTCACGAAGGAAAAAAATATGTTTTGTTTTTGGACAGGGCCCGGTTAGTACGCACATTGTTTCTCTTTCATTTGATTACTAATTTTTTTCAACAATTCCACCACGCGTAAGTTTTAAGTTTTCTTTTCAGAGAGGCACGTGTTAGTATGTTGAATGTTTCTCTTCAACTGCATTATTAATTTTTTTCAATAGTCTCAAGAACAAATTTAATTTTACTTCTTAGGCAGTTAATTCTCAACATGCTTCTCTTATATCTGATAATTAATTCTTTCAAAACTTCCGCCACGAACAAATTTAACTCTTCGTTTTAGACATCATGGATAATACACGATTCAGTTAATCTGCTGGCCGGACTGTTGAATATATACGTCTAAAGAATGGATCTTAAATACAAATTAATCTCTTTTTATTTGAAATGAGAGGTCGACAAACCCTAAAATGAAACTGTCAAAAAATGAGCTCCATTTATCTTTCTATCCTGCTTAAGGCGGACAATTAAATAAATAAAATCAAAAGGAAGCTTGTGATCCACTGTTCTTTAATATTTAAGACGCCATTCAATGAAGGCAGTTGAAAGCAGGAGCACGAAACAGTGTTTGCTCTTACTTAGGGAAATTTGCTTAAGCTCAGTTTTAGTTCG